CACCTGCCAGGGCCATCATCCCTGTCAAATAATACCATGCGGGACACATTCGTTTTTTCTTCGCGCGCGCACGCCGTCGTCGTCGGCCGCGGGGCCCTGAATAGTAGCCACGGTCGTCCGCATGCCACGAAGTGAAGTGTCCGAACGTCATAGGGCGGGAAGCTGGGTGTGGGTGGTGGCGAAGAGTCGTTTGGAAATTTGGTAGAGCTTGAACCGGCCCCCCCACAAAGTGGGGGTATTGCCCGCCTCCTATGAAAACCCTGGCACTGGTGAGAACGGAGTGTCCCCACGTGCTAGTAATTGTTGTTGTTGTTGTTGTTGTTGTCGTTGTCGTTGTCGTTGTCGTTGTCGTTGTCGTTGTCGTTGTCGTTGTCGTTGCCGTTGCCGTTGTCGTTGTCGTTGTCGTTGTCGTTGTCGTTGTCGTCGTCGTTGTTGTTGCTGTTGTTGTTGCTGTTGCTGTTGCTGCTGCTGTTGCTGTTGAATTCTCATTTCTGATTAATTATTGTTGATCCCCCCCACCGGTGCATACTGTTTTTTCTCTATCAAAGTGTGCCCATTGACGCTCGCACCCTGGTTTTTGACAAGGAAAGTCTTCCTGCTCAAACTAGGCCCCTGGCCCCCGTGTTACAACAGCAACGGCTCCCGCCTGAGACTTCCTTACAATTTAGCCAGGACCCCCGCTCCCGCCCGAGACTTCTTCGCATTTGATTCAGGAATCGCGCTCTCGCTCAGGACTTCCTTACAATTTATTACAGAATCGCTCTCCCGGCGCTCTGGAGTCGCGCTCTCGCTGGAGACTTGCTTGCAACTTACTGAAGAATGGCCTTGCGTTGGAATTTCCTGCAATTTGCCCAAGCGCCGCGCTCCCGACACCCAGGCACCCAGGAGTCGCGCCCGTTGTGGCCCCATGTGCATGCCCTTCGTGGCCCCGCTGTCGCCATTTGTGTCCCCCTCACTGTCCTACGTGGCCCAGTTGCTACCCTCAGTGGCCCCATAGTTGCCTTCTGTGGCCCCGCATTATCTGCACTTCGTGGCCCCCGCTCGTTCGCGCTCTTCGTGGCCCCATACGCATTCCCTTCGTGTCCCCGCTGTCGCCCTTCGTGGCCTACTTCGTGCCCTTCGTGGCCCTGCTGTCGTTCTTTCTCGCTCTCGCTTTCGCTCGTCGTCGCCGTCGTCGTCGTCGCCGCCGTCTTCGACGTCGTCGTCGTCGTCGTCGTCGTCGTCGTCGTCGTCGTCGTCGTGGTCGGTCCCCTGTCCGTCCCTCTTGGGGTCGGGTCGACGGTCCGCGGCCGCCCCGCCGATCAGCGCTGCCGCTGGCCAGGCCGACGGTCCGCGGCCGCCCCGCCGCTTGCCGGGGCCCGGCCTGCAGGGAAGAAAGGTATACCCCCCAAAGATCGAAGACGAAGAGGGCGGGTATCGAAGACGAAGAGGGCGGGTATCGAGGGTTTGGGAAATACGCGTTATTGGACACTCGGGCATATAAGGACGAACAGTCATACAATTATCGTTGTTGTTGTGGTTGTGGTTGTGGTTGTGGTTGTGGTTGTGGTTGTTGTTGTTGTTGTTGTTGTTGTTGTTGTTGTTGTTGTTGTTGTTGTTGTTGTTTTTGTTGTTGTTGTTGTTGTTTTCTGTCTCCCTCTTTGTTTCTCTTTTTTTTGTTTTCTCTCTCTCTCTCTCTCTCTCTCTCTCTCTCTCTCTCTCTCTCTTTCTTTTGTTATATCCCACTCTCTCTCTCTCTCTCTCTCCAGTCGGTTCGAGTATCTTCAGGTATATGTGTAGCCACAGACTTGGGGCGTCCAACACATCCGTTGAACGCATCGCGGGACCGGACACACGCCACTTTAACGTGTGACTGATTTGATTCACCTCCCTTGCGCGCGCGCCGTGGTTCCGAAAGGCCCACGCCGTGCGCCCTCAGCACCACCGCAGCCCAGGCCACCAGTCAGGGGCCGCGAACTGGCAACCTTACATGATTTTCAGTACAGCAACCTAAGTCGAAAGGGAGCTTGCGTCGCCGCACGCTAGAGCAGTTGTGGCGTCGATAGAGCAATCGCTGCCTACAACGAGCTCGCTCACAAGCACCAAACCGAACTTGACACCACTTATCAACAAGATCGCTCCGACCAACGTAAGGTCAGGGGCGAGCTGGTGCCTGCGCGAAAAACAAGCACAACCAGCCATACTATGCTGCGCTGCACCCTGACACACAGGACGGGCTCCAGCCTTGACTCACCAGGGTCAACGGCGCCAGCCGACGCCCAACAGTGCGGTTGCCTCACTCATCGGCCTGGATGCACCAAGGTGGGATGTCCCCGTCGCTCTTGCTCCCAACAGGGCGGGGGATGGCAAATCGTATGCCAGCAGCATCTCCCTTCGGGTGCTGGAAGAGGCAGCCGCCTGCTGCAACAAATCCGCCGCCAGAGCCAGCCCCCCTTGCTAGCCGTCCTGGCACCAACCAGCGCTGATTACCCAGGAAAAGGTGGCCTTATCCCTGTTCTCCATCGGGCGGCTAAAGCCATATCAAGCCCGCGCCGGGACATATGCAGGTAACGATGTACCAATCGAGCCGCGCAGAGGTCAATTGTCCGCAAAACGTCGTCCAGGTTATTCTTGGGCCCAGCAGATAACGTAATATGGATCCACGGGGCCATGTGCGAAACTGACGGTATCGCAGTCACGCAGTCACACTGGCGCTCGAGGAGTTGATCGCCTCCCAGTTCTCGGGAGCTGAGCTGCTCCCATCAATGGCGCGCGCATGCGAGGCTGAACGAGCGCGGCTTAACTAAAGGCAAAGGAACGCCACGAATGTGCCAAGCGTGACAAGACGCGCCAGCTGGCAACAGCACGCAAGGACATAATGATGTAATTTCGGATTGAAGTGATGCTTGCCGTGCTGGTTTCACCGATCTTAGCTTCCAGAAGCCGAAAATCGCCAAACCAGTTCCGCTGTGATTTTTTACGACGCGACCGAGGAATTTCCGAGAAGCCTCCGAGGAGAACAGGCCCTCCGTGGGAAGGAGGCCCTCCGAAGACAGGAAGGGCCCTCCGAAGACAGGAAGGGCCCTCCGAGGAGGGATGGGCCCTCCCTGAGAGAGGAGCCCCCTCCGAGAAAGCCTCCGAGGGGAGGAGGGCCGCCCCCCCCACCCCAGGCCCCCCGCATCCCCCCCCTGGGGCGCGCTGGCGGCCTCCCTAGGGGAACGAAAAATTACATAAATATAAAAACTTGGAGGTCCGCACGGATTTCTTGGATCCGCGCTGGACCCCCCTCCCTGGCGCGCGCAGCGCGCCAGGGGCGGCGCCGGAGGCGCCGCCAGGGGGCCCCAGCGCCGATCCGAAAAATCCGCGCGGACCTCCGAGTTTTTATGCTTATGCCATTGTTCGTTCCCCTACTCCCGGACCCTGACCATAACAGCTCTGCCGGCGGCGAAACAGCGCGCGCCGTGCGCCCCGCCGCGAGGGCCCGCCCAGAACCGCACACGATGCGACCCGGCCTGGTCCGACTCGGCGCATCTTGGGCGCGAGTTACTTGGGGGCGATGAATGGGGGTGGAAGAAGGGTGCCCTGCTCGGGCCGCCCCCATCTGTGCCCGAAAGAGCCCCTTCTGGGGTCCTGAAGGGCCCCTTCTCGGCAGCCCCCGCTGACACTGCATTTATCGCCTCCCCATTCATCGCCGCCCAAGCATCGAGTCGCCGCGGGTGGCTCTCAGCTGCGGGAAGCTGCCAGCAACGGTTCGGCCAGGCGATTCGACTCTGTTGCAGCCCGAGGCGGCGACGATCCGACGCAGTTTCTGTTCAAGAGCCTCCGCAGCGGGAGGAGGAGGAGGAGGAGGAGGAGGAGGAGGAGGAGGAGGAGGAGGAGGAGGGTGGAAAAAGGAGCAGGAGCACTGGGTCTTCCAGATGGATCCCTAGGCCAGGGCGGTGATACTAGCAGCAGCGGGTGTCCAAAGAGCGTCACACGAACCCAATCCATCAGTGCTTGAACAAAAAGCTGCTTGAAGCGTCATTCTTGTTTGCTTGTGCGGACCACGTCGGGTCACGAAGACTCCGACTTACCTGATCCACTTCTACAGGGTGGTGCCGGGAAGTGTTGGGGAGACCAGGGGGTGCTTGGAGGCCGCTGGGCGCGGCGTGCCTGTTACATTTTCTATCTTGCTAGTTCTAGGAACAAAATGTCACAGTGTTGTTCCAGTTTCAGGCATGTGTAGTTGAAAGTTGTAAGTAAATCGTGCGTGCGGCTCCGCGACTACCGCTGTTGCAAGACGCATGTGCCCAGCGATCAGGCGAGCGCCCCGCTTTGAAAAGGAACAAAAGGAACCGCCTTCCAGTATTGCAGCTGTTGCGAAGTGTTTCAATGCATGGGCGCGGTGCTGCGGCGAGAGCCGCATGTTGGAACGACCGCCAACCTCCATCCCCGACGCCGTTGCAACCTTTTCAGACAATTGTGCTCGGCGCTAAGGCGAGAGGCCCATCTCGAAAACCATCTCTGCTCCATCTTTGGAGCCGTTGCAGATATCAAGGTGCACAGGAACATACATGGGGAGGAAGTCTCAGGCCAAACGTCCAGCCCGCCCAGCCGACACGTCCGGAGGTGCGATAGGGCTGTGTTACTCAGAAAGAACATGGATGAAGGAGGAGCCAGGGCCACATCCATGGGGGGGCTGCGCATGAGCAGCCAAAAGAGACACCACGGGCGCAAAGGCAGACATTACCCTCAAACAAAGGTTGTTGGAGACGCCTGGAGCCCATGCGATCGGACGGACTCCTGATCGTCGCCCCGGCAGAACCTGCCGAGGCCGTACTGAACCGCTGTCTCACACCGCCCTTTTCTCCAAGACCCGACGGCTTCTGGCCGCTCACCCGGAGAGGTCCTCCTCTTCCTCCTCCTCCTCCTCTTCCTCCTCCTCCTCCTCCTCCTCCTTCTCCTCCTCCTCCTCCTCCTCCTCCTCCTCCTCCTCCCACCCCCTCCTCTCTGCGGCGGCGCTCCTGCGCATCGCCTCCCCGAGCCTTTCAGCTCAGCTCGAGGGGTGGTGCGGCGCCCCCCCCCCGCCCCTGCGCCCGCGGCAATGGCGGACTCGAGCGAGGCGTCCCGCCAGACGCCGTCGCCGTCGGCTTCTCGCCGCCTTCGTCGGCTCGTCGCCCTCGTCGCCCCCCCCATGGGAGGAGGAGGAGGATGAGGAGGAGGAGGAGGAGTTACACCTTGAGATCTTGGCGCTGCGATTTTTTTTCACCACGGGCCCTGGGACCTTCGCAGAGATCGATCCAGGTCGAAGGATGGGCGGCAAGATGAAGTCCGCGGTTCCGGTCGTGATTTCTTTCGATGCTGCAGTTGTCTTGCAATGTCGGATCTCAGGGAAGTCGCCGATTCGGTTGTTTTCCCTTCGTTTTCGCCATTCGCCACTTGTGGGCTCCTGCATGCCCTTGTCGCCACGGCCGGAGCCGCCTCGCGTGCCTGGTCAGAGTGCACCCGGGGAGAGATCTTGGGAGATGCAGTGTGGGTTTATTCTCCAGGTCTGTCCTTGTCCTCCTCCCCGAGGATGGGGCACAGTCCTTCCCCTTCTCATCCAGTCGACTCCTGCTGTCTGTGCAAGGGTCGGATGGCGGTGGCAGTAGCTGTAGCAACAGATGAAGCACAATGAGGAGATTGTAGTCGACTTCGGACCTCGAAGATGGAGAAGCAGGGGGGTGGGGGGCGGAGAGAGGGGGGGTGCATGAGGGATGGATGGAGGGAGACGTTAGGAAGACGGAGGGGGATGGATGGACGGATGGATGGAAGGATGGATAGGTGGGTGGGTGGGTGGGTCGGTGGGTAGATGGGGGGAAGCATGGGTCTAGGGGGAGGAGGAGGACGAAGGGGGAGGACGAGTTTTGGAGAGGTGGATGCTAAGAGGGTTCTTTCGGAGTGCACAAGGAAGGACCTGAGTGCTTGTGTTTTCACAAAGGGCTATGGACTTCGAGGGGGTTCGTTGGGAAATATTGTCGAGGAGGAGGAAGGGGATCAGGGGGAGGAGGAGGAGCAGGAGGAGGAGGAGGAGTCGAGGAGAAGGGAGGGAGGGAGGGCGAGTGGTGAGGAGTACGTAAGAGATGAGATGAGAGAAGGAGTATTATATTGAGGTGGAAGTGCGAGTGTCATACTTTAGATGCTCGTTTTCGCCTTCTTCGTGTAATCCTGGAATCGTTTCCAAATGGCACCGCTTAGTTACTCGTGAGGGCGATTCCGACATCGGTCATTAGTACGTCGGCGTATGGACATAGAGTTAATCCAGATGCAGACACTTTGGCAGGGCGGCACGTTTTCTTTGGTTTCAGCTACATGTCACAGAGCTTCGTCCGACGTGTTGGAAGCCACGTCTTCTCCGACGACACCGTCGGTCACAAAACGCACTCCCGCCTGGGGCTGGCGTTCATCACGGGATCTGGCTGCTTGAATTTTCAGCAGTGGCTGGAGTGGAGGGCGGATCCACTTACCGATCGTGCCGTGGCCTCTCAAGGCTTCGGCCATCAGCACCGACGGAGGTTGACGCCCTCGCTAAGGTCGGTTTTGACCTGGTCGTCGAAGCGTGCAGCCGAGGCGCTGAGAGAAGGCCCCCTCTGGGCTCCGCAGGGGCTCGGGGCTTTGGGGGGGCCGCTCCACGGGTTCGGGGCGCGGGGCCCGTGCGTGGCCGAGGCTCGCCGTGGCCAGAAGAGCCCCCTTCGTTCTTCACGGGGCCCAAGGACACACATAAATGTACGCAAATAAGAGGGTTCCCCATACTTTCCAATACTTTCTGGGTTTTTGCCTTCGCCCCACTTCCCATAGTTTCCCATATGTTCGGGGGAATGCACAATGAATTGTGTCTGTGTATTTCCCAACCCTCCTATGGTTGGGTACTCGTTTTGAATAGAACTCCTCATCCTCCTCCCCGTCCTCCCCTCCTCCTCTCCTGTTTCCTGTGTTCCCCTCTCCTCTTCTCTCGTACCGTCGGGCTGCGATCTGCGCAACTGTCGCCACTTTCGTGGGCTCCTGGGAGGCCGAGCGGAGGTACGTCCCACGCGGATCACCTCGGGACCTCGCGGTGCCCTGGGGGGCTTGCGACCTCCGCAATTGTCGCCACTTTCGTGGGCTCCTGGGGGGCCCAGCGGAGGTACGTCCCACGCGGATCACCTCGGGACCTCGCGGTGCCCTGGGGAGCTTGCGATCTGCGCAATTGTCGCCACTTTCGTGGGCTCCTGGGAGGCCCAGCGGAGGTGCGTCCCACGCGGATCACTTCGGGACCTCTCGGTGCCGTGGGGGCAGCGATCTGCGCAACTGTCGCCACTGTCGTGGGCTCCTGGGAGGCCCACCGGAGGTGGGTCCCACGCGGATCACCTCGGGACCTCGCGGTGCTCTGGGGGCTGCGATCTGCGCAGTTGTCGCCCTTTTCGTGGGCTCCCGGGAGGCCCAGTGGCGGTGGGTCCCACGCGGATCACCTCGAGACCTCGCGGTGCCCTGGGGGGTGCGATCTGCGCAACTGTCGCCACTTTCGTGGGCTCCTGGGGGGCCCAGCAGAGGTACGTCCCATGCGGATCACCTCGGGACCTCGCGGTGCCCTGGGGGCTGCGATCTGCGCAATTGTCGCCACTTTCGTGGGCTCCTGGGAGGCCCAGCGGAGCCTCGGGACCTCGCGGTGCCTTGGGGACAGCGATCTGCGCAACTGTCGCCACTTTCGTGGGCTCCTGGGAGGCCCAGCGGAGGTGCGTCCCACGCGGATCACCTCGGAACTTTGCGGTGCCCCAGGGGGGTTTGAAATCCGTGCAATTGTCGCTTTTTTTTCGTGGGCTCCTGGGAGGCCCAGCGGAGGTACGTCCCACGCGAATCACTTCGGGACCTCGCCGCCCCCTGGGGGGCTTGCGATCTGCGCAACTGTCGCCATCTTCGTGGGCTCTTGGGAGGCCCAGCTGAGGTACGTCCCACGCGGATCACCTCGGGACCTCGCGGAGCCCTGGGGGCTGCGATCTGCGCAATTGTCGCCATTTTCGTGGGTTCCTTGGAGGCCCAGCGGAGGTGCGTCCCACGCGGATCACCTCGTGACCTCGCGGTGCCTTGGGGGCTGCGATCTGCGCAACTGTCGCCACTTTCGTGGGCTCCTGGGAGGCCCAGCGGAGGTACGTCCCACGCGGATCACCTCGGGACCTCGCGGTGCCTTGGGGACAGCGATCTGCGCAATTGTCGCAATTTTCGTGGGCTCCTGGGAGGCCCAGCGGAGGTACGTCCCACGCGGATCACCTCGGGACCTCTCGGTGCCGTGGGGGCTGCGATCTGCGCAATCGTCGCCACTTTCGTGGGCTCCTGGGAGGCCCAGCGGAGGTACGTCCCACGCGGATCACTTCGGGACCCCGCGGTGCCCTGGGAGCTTGCGAGTTGCGCAACTGTCGCTTCTTTCGTGGGCTCTTGGGAGGCCCAGCGGAGGTGCATCCCACGCGGATCACCTCGGGACCTCGCCGCCCCCTGGGGGGCTTGCGATCTGCGCAACTGTCGCCACTTGCCGTCCCCTGGGGGGCTTGCGATCTGCGCAATTGTCGCCATTTTCGTGGGCTCCTGGGAGGTCCATCAGAGGTGGGTCCAACGCGGATCACTTCGGGACCTCGCCGCCCTCTGGGGGGCTTGCGATCTGCGCAACTGTCGCCACTTTCGGGCCCAGCGGAGGGGTCCCACGCGGATCACCTCGGGACCTCACGGTGCCCTGGGGGTCTTGCGATCTGCGCAATTGTCGCCACTTTCGTGGGCTCCTGGGACCCAGCGAAGGTGGGTCCCACGCGAATCACTTCGGGACCTCGCCGCCCCCTGGGGGGCTTGCGATCTGCGCAACTGTTGCCGCTTTCGTGGGCTCCTGGGAGGCCCAGCGGAGGTGGGTCCCACGCGGATCACCTCGGGACCTCGCCGCCCCCGGGGGGGCTTGCGATCCGTGCAATTGTAGCATTTTTTCGTGGGCTCCTGGGAGGCCCAGCGGAGGTGGGTCCCACGTGGATCATTCGGAGGTACGTCATACGCGTTTCTTTCAACGCCCCTGTGTTTCCATTTTGTATAGTTGCCGTTCCTCTTCTTGCTGCGCTCGTCTAAAATCACTGGTGGGTGCTCTTCTTGCGCACTGCGGGTCCTTCAGAACGCCAGTCAACATTGAGTGGTCCTGAGTAGGATCGCCACATGTATAGAAAGGGTTGGGTACGTCACAGGGTAATGTTCCCCTCCCGAGTTCTTCAGGAGGGGAACAAAAACACACACACACACAGACACAACTGCACGTATATTCCCAGGAACACATGGGAAAAGGTGGGACGTGGGGGGGCGGGGTCGACGAGAGCCAAGAGAACGTGGAGAAACAGGGGGAGTCCTGGGACCCGTGTCTGTTTCTTTGTGTGTCCCAGGGCCCCTTCAGTTCTTTGGCCAGCGCGTTTCTGTTGTCGGCAGCGCCTCGTGGCCGAGGCTCGCACGTCGGCTCGCACCGTGCAGACCCACGAGGCCCTCACCCTTTCCGCGGGCGCCGTCGGCGATCCGAGATCGGCGGCGAGCGAGGGGGGGAAGTTCGAGATTCGAACCTCGAGGTTCGAGGCGTGTTCTTCTTCTGGGTAAAATAACAAAACATAGTTTTCGGTCTCCGGGGGCCGTGTTCGACTGGGACCTCCGGAACTCGACCTGGGGTGACAAATCGCGTCGTATAGACCCCGGCAGGGACCGATCTTCACCAATATTCAGCGGCGCGCCCAGGGGGAAATGAGACAGTGAAGGCCTTCTCAGAAAGCGGCGGGACTTGTCAGCAGGCCTCGCGCCTTCTGAGAAGTTTTCCGTGTGTTCGGAGAAGGCTCAGAACAATTCTCAGGGCCAGCGGTCTTCCGAGCCTTCTGACCAGGTCCGCCCCTTCTCACTTCCCCCCCAGGCTCGCCGCCGAGCATCGTGACAAAATCACGACGGGAGGTTTTTGGCAGTGTTCGGTCTTCGAGGGCCCTCGCCGGGTCCCGGGGCCGACAGGCAACAGCTCTGGATGAGAAAATGGTGCCCGACTTCCAGGGGCCCCGTGTCTCTAGGCTTCCTCGAGGGGGTCGGAATAGATGGGGTCCGAGGATCGCGCCGCATCGCCGATGCTTCGGCGATGCGTCGGCGATGCAGCTCCATGTGGGGCCCAATTTTCTTCACGCCGACGTCGTGGATGTATCGCCGACGTCGCCAGTGCATGGCCGATGCATCGCCGATGTATCGCCGATGTATCGGCGATGTATCGGCGATGTATCGGCGATGCGGCGAGATCCTCCGACCCCGTCCACTTGGACCCCATCTAGGATGCCTCTAGGTGAGAAGCCGGCCCCAGTGAAAGTGTCAGGACTTCCAGGGACCCCATGTCGAGACCATCGGGACCTCGCAGGCCTGGGGCCTTTGGGGCTCGTGCCCGCCACCGAGCACAGGGTCCGTGGGCGAGGGGCTCCTCTGTGAGCGGCGGCACGCCGAAGGGGGAAGTGAGAGGCACTGCTGGCCTTGGCAGAAGGCGGCGGGGGCGGGAGCATTGATCGGGACGATCGACATGGGTACTCCGAGTTTCTTCATAGGCGTCGGGGGGGGCGTCACCACCGCCGACAGCCCCACATCGACCCCCGTCGCGGGCAGCCACCGAGCGCCGAAGGCGCTCCGACCCCCGTCGCGGCGCCACGACGAGGCGAGGTTGACCCCCGTTGGGGGGGTACCCCCCACGCTTATCAAGAAACCCAGGGTACGGAGAGACTGGGTTCGATGCCCAACAGCAGTTCCTATTCATTTTGACCAGGGCTCGCTGTCTGCGCCGCCGCGGACGTTGTTCTCTGAAGACAACATGCCGCCTGCCCAATAGCGGCCGCTGCCGGTTTTGGACAACATTCGTTGTTGGGCATCGTACCCATTTTGTCCATACCCGTTTCGTGCGTCCAAACTTGAGACGGTGGTCAATGTGCAAACGGCGGTCAGCCAAAGCGCCGTTTCTTGCAGGAACCTGCAAAGCCAGGGTTGCATGGACCAGGGCTGGCGCGCAGAATTCTGCAGACTCCCACAGGATCTTGCAGGACCCGCGTTTGCATTGACACGGGTCAGTAGGTCCCCAATGGGGCTTCGGAGATGGCTCGGATAATTTCTCGGGAGGACAGACGCCTTCTGAGCCTTCGGAGGAAGCCTGCCCCCTCGCACTTCCCCGCTGGGCGCGCCGACGATCTGAGAGGCCTCTAGGATGCCTCTTGGGCTCTTTCGGAGGCCTCTCGGGGCTTTGGGGGGCCCTTCGGAGGCCTCTCGGGAACCTCCTGGGGACCACCTGGGAGTCCCTGGGACGCCTTGGGGGCCCCTGGGGGGTTTCGCCCGCTCAAGTTCGCCCGCCTGGGGGCCTGATGGGTCCTCTTGCGGGCCTACTTGGGAGCCGTCTTGAGGCGATCTCAGGGCCATCTTGGCGGGTCTCTCAGGCCGAGAAGAATGCGAAAATCGCAAGGACACACAGGGATGTACAATGCTTGTGGCTGTCTGGGCCGGCCAACACCAGCCCCTGTACGAAGAGCGCGCAAAGACCATCTCGATCCTCGAGCCTCCTCCTGCCTCCTCCTCACTTCGTCATCCACTCTCTCGGGCCTCTGCCTAACTGCGGTCTTGAGGCGCAGCATCCTCCTCCTCCTGCCTCCTCACGTCGTCATCCTCTCTCTATCTCTCTCGCGGGCATCTGCCTCAAACAATTGCGGTCCCGAGGCACGCGTGGCGCGTGGCGCGGGGCCTCGAGCGCTCTCCTCTCTGCGCGGGCCCCGTGCCCCCCTCCGCGGTGGCGCGCGAGGCAGCCCAGAAGTCCAGAATCCCTCGCCCCTCCTCTGTGACGTTGGCCATGCAGTGGAGGCCCATGCCAAGAAGCACCCTGCTTGCCTCCAGGGTGCCCTGGGTTTCGAGGGTTTAGAGGGTTTTGCTGTGGAGAGCGCGACGCTCCTACGCCAAAGATCGATGGACGTCCTGGGGTCTCGGGGCTGGGTTTCTTGTGGAAGGTTTCTTGTGGACTGACCTCCACTGTACATGAATCGCGAGCTCGTTGCGTGAGCCTCGTCCGCCCTCCTCCACCTCCTGCGGCGGGAGGCTGGAAGCGGAGGCGGAGCGGGAGACGACAGAGGGCCGACGCGGCGCGCACCGCCCCAGATGCCTCCAGTGCCCTCGGGCATGAGGGCGCCCAATCGCGAGGCGCGCCCGTGCCGCCGTCGTGCTCGTGGCCGCCGCCGCCGTCGTCGGCGCCGTCGTCCCCAGGCCTCGATGTCGAGGCGGAGGTGCTTTGCATAGTTTTCGGCCCCTGGGCGCCGTCGCCAGGTCCTGGGAGCGTCAGAGAACCGAGTCGGGGTGAGAGGCCGGTCCTGGGGTAGTCTCCCGCATAGATCGCCGCCGCTGCCCACGCCCGCCGTCGTCGCCGTGGTCGTCGCCGCCGCCGCGCTGTGGGGCAGCGTGCGAGGAGGAGCCAGGGGAGGCAGAGGCGGAGGAGGCGGAGGCGAGGGCGGGGGCGGATGGGGCCCACGCAGCTCTTTCCAGGGCCGGTCTCCGGACCGACACGCGCGCCTCGCCTCGCCTCGCCTCGTTGCAACTGCGTGTCCCTCCGCTCGCTTCGTCCGTGTCCGTGGCGTCGCTCGTCTGACTTCGCTGTCCCTCCCGATCCTTGCCACGGGGTTCTCCCCCTGCGCCTGTGGAGACGTGCCCTCCTCGACCTCCCCGAGCGGCTGTGCCCGTGGTGGCGTGCCGCCGCCTCTTGCCTGACGCTCTCGGCCCGACCCGCTCCCTCCTCCGCCCTCCTCCATCTCCCCTCCTCTCCTCTACATCTCCTCTTCCCTCCTCTTCTCTCCTCTCCTCTTCTCTCCTCGCCCCTCCTCTCCTCTCTTCTCCTCTCCCCTGCTCTCTCCTCTCCTCTCCCCTCCCCTCCCCTCCCCTCCCCTCCCCTCCCCTCCCCTCCCCTCCCCTCCCCTCCCCTCCCCCCCCCCCCCTCCCTCCCCTCCCCTCCCCTCCCCTCCCCCCCCCCCCCCCCCTCCCTCCCCTCTCCCTCTCCTCTACTCTCCTCCCCTCCTCTCCTCTCCTCTCCTCTCCTCCTCCTCCTCCTCCTCCTCCTCCTCCTCTCCTCCTCCTCCTCCTCCCTCCTCCTCCTCCTCCTCCCCCTCCTCCTCCTCCTCCTCCTCCTCCTCCTCCTCCTCCTCCTCCTCCTCCTCTCCTCATCCTCTTCCTTCGGCTTCGCGCGCCTCCTGCTGCTGCTGCTCCTCCTCCTTCTCCTTCTCTCCTCCTGCTTCTCGCACCTCCTCCTCCTCCTCCTCCTCCTCCTCCCCTCCTCCTCCTCCTCCTCCTCCTCCTCCTCCTCCTCCCCCTCCTCCTCCTCCTCCTCCTCCTCCTCCTCCTCCTCCTCCTCCTCCTCCTCCGCTTCCTCCCGGCTTCGTGGAGGAGCGCGGCTTGGTCATCTCCCCCAAGTCCACGCTCCTGGCGTCCGACACGCAGCGGGGGCGTGAGATCCAGGAGGAGCTGGTGTCGGCGACGCTCCCGCTGAAGCTGGCGTTGGACACCGTCGACCTGGACGGCGATGCTGCAGCAGGCAGGAGAAGGTGTTGCAAGACGCAGCGCAAAAGACTTCTGGTGGCTGGCAGGCGAGCTGGCCGCATCATCAGACTGCGGCGCAGTGCGGCGCTGGCCAAGGAGACTAAGGGGCTCTGGAGCACGGGGGCCTCCCCACAAGCCACCTACGGCCACCAGCTCCAAGGCCTGACCCCGTCGGTCATCAAGAAGCTGAGGCAGCAGGCTGGTGCAGCCGTTGGGGGGCACGTCGGCGGCCGTTGCCTCACCACGGTGCTGGCTGCAGGACTTGAAGAATACCCAGGAGTCTAGCTACGACTGCAGCTGGTGGACCCTTGGCTGGAGTTGTGGGAGACGGCTCCTGAACTGCATGCGCGTATAAGGAAGGTCTGGCTTGCCATCCGTGGTGTGCTGATCAAGGCTGGGGCGCAACATTGGTGGCGCCGAGTTCGTGGTCCACTGGGTGCGCTGCTGGCCACGCTCCTGAACCTGGGTTGGGATGCTCGCACAGCGGGCACGTGGAGCCGGCCTTGGCTGGATGGCCCACCCCATCACGGAGTGGCACCTGGTGGAGTCTAGCTCGGACTCCTACGGCGACTTCATAGACCACCAGCCCATCATGCATGACTTGAAGGAGGACATCAGAAGGAGGCTGTGGCAGCAGGCGGCCGACCATGAGGATGGAGGCAATCTAGCTGGAGGTGCTGATGTGATGCACGTCAAGAGAGAGCTGGGCATATTCCGAGAAGAGGTCTGTGGGCAGAGTGGCACGCGCCGTGGTGGTGATCAGTGGTGGCCAGTGGTCCAGGGACAGCAAGCGCAGGAGAGGCTACGACCTCAGCGTCCTCTGTCCCAGGTGCGGGCTGGAGCCTGCCTGGGACCTTGACCCACAAGGTCTTGCAGTGTGCAGCCATTGTGGATGACGAGGAGCACCAGGAGTTCGCCAAGACGGAGCACTTGGTGATGAGAGCCTTGGCCAGGGCCGACAGTGAGCCCTCGGTATGGCTGCGCGGGCTCACGCCTGAATGTCTCACCACGTTGAAATTCGATGAGGAGTGCCTTGCCCCAGTTTTTTTCGGGCAGGGTGAGCTCGACGATTATCGGAGGGAGGGAGTGTTTACGCTTTTTGGAGACGGGTCGGGAGGGAGGCGCTCGGACGATCAGCGTCGTCGTAGGTGTGGCGCGGCTGTGGCGATTCGGGGCTGGCGCGAGGGCGCCTGGTGTCTGGGAGCGATGACGGCACGGGACCCCGACAGTCGGTGCCGCGGGCGGGAACCGTGGCCCTGGCCCTGGGCCTGGAAGGGTGCACGGGAACCGTTCACTTTTCCAGGGACCACCAGGGTCTTTTGAAAAAACTTGGCCCAAGGGGGCAGGAGGGCCACGAGGGGCCCCAATGAAGACCTATGGGCCAGAATTCGTAAAGCTGTTGTCGGAAGAGAGATCTCCTTGGATTGGGTACAGTCGCGCGCCGGAGAAGATATAGGCTGTCTGGCCACTGAGCGCGACCTGTACCCGTCCCGAGGTCGGAGGTAGGGGGTGAGATCGAAGTGGAACGGAGAGCCCACCTACCGGGAAATCGGTTTCGGTCTCGTGTTCGTGCGTGCCGTGCGTGCGGGCGACGCGAAGCTGCGTGGGCGGGCGAAAAGAAGTCTCCTGCGGCTGAGGCGCGGCCCGGCCACATGATTCCTTTCTGGGGGCCCGAGGCCCGCGGTGTCCCGCCGGTGTCCCGCCTTTGGCTGAGATGCGGCCGGACGAAATGATTCCTTTCCGGGGGCCGGTGGCCCGCCGTGTCCCGCCGGTGTCTTGTCGGTGTCCCGATGGTGATGATGATGATGATGATGGTGATGGTGATGGTGATGGTGATGGTGATGATGATGATGGTGATGATGATGATGGTGATCATCATGGTGATGATGATGATGGTGATGCTGATGATGGTGGTCATCATGGTGATGATGATGATGGTGGTGATGGTGATGATGATGATGATGGTGATGCTGATGATGGTGGTCATCATGGTGATGATGATGATGGTGGTGGTGATGATGGTGGTGATGATGATGATGGTGATCATCACGGTGATGATGATGCTGATGATGATGATGGTGATGGTGATGATGATGGTGATGATGATTATGATGATGGTGATGGTGATCATCATGGTGATGATGATGATGTTTATGATGATGATGGTGATGATGATGATGATGGTGATCATCATGGTGATGATGATGATGCCGATGAGGTTGATGGTGATGATGGTGATGGTGATGGTGGCGATGATGATGGTGTCCCGATGATGATGATGATGATGATGATGATGATGATGTGTTTGACGATGTTGATGATATTGCTGATGGTGTTGGTGGTGATGCTAATGGTGTCCCAATGATGATGTTGATGATGATATTGTTGATGATAATGGTGTCCCGATGGAGCTGATGATATTGATGTTGATGATCTAGATCATATTGATGATACGATATGACGAGGAGATGATGAATATGATGATTATGGTGTCCCGATGGTCATGATGATACTGATGATGGTGGTGTTGATGATGATGGTTGCGATGATGATGCCCCGATGATGCTGATGATCTTGATGATGATGACGATGATGGTGTCCCGATGATGATGATGTTGGTGGTGCGGATAATGGTGATGTGATGATGATGATGATTTCGATGATGGTGGTCCGATGATGGTGATGATGATGATGATGATCATGGTGTCCCGATGGTGATGATGATGATGGTGACGATGATGATGGTGCCCCGATGGTGATGGTGTTGATGATGATACGGGTGATGATGATGATGGTGGTGTCCCGATGCTGATGATGATGCGGATGATGTTGTTTCATGATGATGGTGTCCCGATGGTGATGTTGTTGATGGTGATGGTGGCGATGACGGTGTCCCGATGATGATGCCGATGATGATGATGATGCCGATGCTGATGGTAATGAGGTGATGATGATGATGGTGTCCCGATGGTGCTGATGATGATGGTGAGTTTGATGACGTTGGTGACGATGATGTTGTTGATGATGATGATGTTGATTGTGATATCGATTGTGATATCGATTTGAGATCCATTGTGAGACCGAGTGTGGGATCGATTGTGCGATCGATCGTGAGATCGATCGTGATATCGCTTGTGATATCGATCGTCACATCGACGGTGAGGTCGATCGAGCGATATCAATCGAATGAAATCGATCGAGTGAGATCGATCGAGCGATACCGATAGTGATATCGATCGTGATATATATAGTGATACCGATCGAGTGAGACGGTGGTTCTTCTCCCCCCCGAACCTCCCTATCGCGCAAAAGGGTGGTCGTATAGGTAATTCTACGCAGACTTTGGGGCGGGGGAGGCGGCGGAGCGGGCTTGGGACGGGTTCGTTCTCCATGAGACTCCCCGCGCTGACAGCTGGGACGCGGTGGCAGCCATGGTTCGGCGTAGAGCTTCTAGGGCCCTCCAGCTGGCCATGGATTGTGACACGATCCGAGCTGAGCGTGAATATACCGTGCCTCGGTCAGCGCGTGCGACGGGCGTGAAGCTTTCCGTGCGTGAGTCGGCCCACCTAATAGTCCAGGATTGGCCGAAATGGAAATGTAAGGTCTGCGGGCAGCGAGTGCATGCCTCGTACCTGGTGTTTTTCTGCCAGACTAAGTGTGATTTCCTCCTGCCCCGCTTGTGCCCCCTCCCCACATCCCCAGTAGTGCCCCCAGGTCCCTGGGCGGAGGAAGAAGGAAGAGCCTTGGCGGGAGGGTTCTCCACGAGCCCCACAAGCTTGCGGAGTGGTGTGAATTCATCATGATTTGTTGCCACGAATGTGGAACATATGCAAATGAAGGTTTCAGGCGTTTAAAAGCCAAGTGCTTAGGTAAGTCCAAGAAGGGTGCCGAGAATCAGTCGCGCATAAATTCAGAGTTGTATCCGAGCTATCGTGGGCCGCCCAAGTCGGTCCGTGAGGCTCTGCATGCTAAAGTTTGTACTGAGGAGGTGGCCAGAGCGAAAGTCGATAAAGCCGTGGCGCCGCCCACCCTCGGGCCCGGGATTCCGTCTCAAATCGAGCACCCCTTTGGGCGAGGGATTCCGGCTCAAATCGAACACCTCTCTGGCCACAGGCGCCCTGGCCCCTCCCAGCCCTGTGCGTTGCCCCTGGACCCTGAAGAAGAGGCGGCAGAGTTCTCTTCGGCGGAGCGTTTGGTGAGGCCCGTGCTCGCCAGATCTTGCGTGAGAGGCGCCTGACTGTTGTGCTGCGTGGACGGCCCGGCCGCGTACTAACGTACGTAGGTCTCCTCCTCCTTCTCGTCCTCCTCCTTTTGATATTTCTCCTCCTCCTCCTCCTCCTCCTCCTGCTCCCCCTCCAGTGGTATAGTGCGATGACCGACTCCGACGCTTACGTTGTGGCCCATTGTTGCTCCTCCTTGTTCCAGCAGTCCCCGTTGTTCCAGCTCGAGAAAGATGTTTAGTTCCTGGACCAGATCCCCAATATGCCCGAATATCCCGAGACGCGTGATTTCCAGGCCGCTGTGTTGAAAGCCATCAAGTTATCCCTCCTCAAGCCGCGTGCGAAGCTCTGATACCGAGGCTCCAATATTTCCCCAGGCGAGATGAAGTGAGGCCTGACGTAAGAACCCAGCAGCTCATAAAATTAGGTAGGTCAGGTCAGCGATTGTCAGCTTCCATAATATCTAGTCTTGTTAAGTCGATGTGTAATGCACGGTGCACGACGCGAAGGTACCACCAGGGTCCCGCGGTATGCATTTTTGGGTGTATGGATGTTAGTGGCGATAGCATTATCCACTACGCCTCCTGCCCTGCCCTGTCGTTGCTCGTCTTCTTCGTTTCTTGCCGCTTCCGCGTGCTGAATTGAGTGGGCCTGAAAGATTGTGCATTTTGGATTTTCCTGGCGATATAGATTCGCAATCCAGTTGTATTGTTGCTCTTGCTGTGCTATTCCATGCTTTCAATAAGATCAGGAATTCTCTGCGGAGGCTGACTGTTTCCAATCTGCTCACGGCGCGGGCCAAGGTGCTAGCCCAGAGGCATGCTGGGCTCAGGCGGCTGCTGCAGGGAGAACACGCTGGGTTGTGATGAGCGCGCCTCCTCCTTTTCTCCCCCTCCTTCATCCTCCTCTTCTTCCTTCCTCTCTCCTCCCTCCTCCTCTTCCTCCTCTTCCTCCTCGTCTTCTTGCTTCCACATGTTGGCCTGTCGGGGACCTGATTTGGCGCATGTTGGGGCGGTCGTGGGGCGCGTTGGGGGCTTGGGCGGACGGAAAAGGCTTCTGGGGCCCAAGTGCCTCGGCCGTATGGCCCCAGGAGACTCCGCAACCAGAAATCAGATTGAAGGTTCGGCCGAGCGCGCGGGTTTTGCGTTCGCCACCGGTCCCTTCTACGCCCACGCGAATCAGTTGTGCACATCGTGCCTCTTTTTCTTTTTATTTAAGTTTTTTAAGTTTATAAATATGTATACGTATGTATTAACATATGCCGGGGGACCGGGTCTGGGGGCCAGGGGCCGGGACCCCGACCACAAATGTGAGGCCCGGGGCCCGGGCCCGCCTTTGGGAGTCTTAAAATCGCCCCGGGGAACCCTCAGACAGCAATCCCGGCGGCCCCAGGCGGTCTCGAGACACCCCCAAGACGACGTCCAGGGGTCTCCGTCGACGCACGATGCGTTTAAATCGCCCCGGAGGCCCCCAAGACGCCCCACGAGGTCTTTAAGATGCCGCCGAAGAGCGCCCCGAGAGGGGCAAAACAAGTCGTTGATTTTTACCTAACAGCGAAGACTGATAAGTTTCTAGTGGGGTCAAAAGAGAGCATCATGACTCCTCAGGAGGGTCGGGGCGGGACCCGGGGCGGCTGCCGCCGAAGCCCAAATCGCCTAGGACATCCTCGCAAAATCGCTCTTGGCGCTGCTAGAACTCCATTCCCGGCATACATTTTGGATGCCCGGAGCCAACTGTAGGCCACTTCGTGCTCTTCGACTTCCAGAACTCCATTTCCGGCGTACATTTTGGATGCCCGGAGCCAACTGTAGGCCACTTCGTGGTCTTCGAGTTTCCAGAACTCCATTCCCGGGCCACATTTTGGATGCCCGGAGCCAACTGTAGGCCACTTCGTGGTCTTCGAGTTTCCAGAACTCCATTCCCGGGCTACATTTTGGGTGCCCGGAGCCAACTGTAGGCCACTTCGTGGTCTTCGAGTTCCAAGAACTCCACTCCCGGGCCACATTTTGGATGCCCGGAGGCTGAGGCGCTGAGGCTGAGGCTGACGCTGAGGCAGGCTGAGGCAGACGCTGAAGCCGGCTGATGCTCAGGCAGGCTGAGGCAGGCTGAGGCTGAGGCCGAGGCTGAAGGCAGACTGAGGCTGAGGCTGAGGCAGGCTGAGGCTGAGGCTGAAGGCTGAGGCTGAGGCTGCGGCTGATGCAGGCTGAGGCTGAGGCAGGCTGAGGCCGCGGGAGTATGCGAGAGCGCAGCAGGCTGAGGCTGAGGCAGGCTGAGGCTGAGGCTGAGGCTGATGCAGGCTGGGGCCGAGGCAGGCTGAGGCCGCAGGAGTATGCGGGAGCGCAGCAGGCTGAGGCTGAGGCAGGCTGAGGCTGAGGCTGATGCAGGCTGAGGCTGAGGCAGGCTGAGGCCGCGGGAGTATGCGGGAGCGCGGCAGGCTGAGGCTGAGGCAGGCTGAGGCTGAGGCTGCGGCTGATGCAGGCTGGGGCCGAGGCAGGCTGAGGCCGCAGGAGTATGCGGGAGCGCAGCAGGCTGAGGCTGAGGCAGGCTGAGGCTGAGGCTGAGGCTGATGCAGTCTGAGGCTGAGGCAGGCTGAGGCCGCAGGAGTATGCGGGAGCGCAGCAGGCTGAGGCTGAGGCAGGCTGAGGCTGAGGCTGATGCAGGCTGGGGCCGAGGCAGGCTGAGGCCGCAGGAGTATGCGGGAGCGCAGCAGGCTGAGGCTGAGGCAGGCTGAGGCTGAGGCTGAGGCTGATGCAGTCTGAGGCTGAGGCAGGCTGAGGCTGAGGCCGAGGCTGAAGGCAGACTGAGGCTGAGGCTGAAGCTGGCTGAGGATGAGGCCGAGGCAGGCTGAGGCTGAAACTGAGGCAGGCTGATGCTGAGGCAGGCCGAGGCTGAGGCTGTGACTGTGACTGCTGTTGCCGCTGCGACTGTCATCGCGAATGCGACTGCGACTGCGAGAACAGCAGAATTCTACAACTGGATTCTGATCTGAATCTTAAGGGGAATGCTTCCAGATATGTTTCTAGACATCGCTGTTAGGTTGCTGTGCCGGGATAATCTTTTTTTCAATGTTGTTTTGCATTATCGTTTTTCGTGTTTGCGGCGCTAAAGCACCGCCCAACAGGCTCCCCAAACCGCTCCAAGACGGCCCAAGAGGCTCCCAAGAGGCTCCCAAGAGGCCCCCGAGACGGCCCGAGAGAGCCCCGAGACGGCCCCAGAGCCGCCCAAGACGGCGCAAGAGGGTCCCAAGAAGGCCCCAAGAGGGGCCCAAGAGAGGGAACGCGAGCTGAAAACTCAAGCTCTCCGCCCCAAGATGCCCCCATGAGGCCCCAAGATGCCCCCAGGAAGCCCCCACGAGGCCCCAGGAGGCCTCCAAGAGGCCCCAAGAGGCCCCCAAGAAGCCCAAAAGAGGCTCCAAGAGACCCCAAGACTGCACCCGAAAGGCTTCGAAACTCTTTCTAAGAGGCCCCCGAAGACATGTCAAGAAGGTCCCATGACGACTTCAAGAAGCAGTCCACGATGCTCCGAGGAGGCCCCAAGAAGCTAGCTAGAACTTGAGCGCGCGCGAAGCGCGCGCCATGGTTCTACTTTATATATATATACACATGAAAGGCAGTTCGTCCAAACATAAGTAGCCTTAATCAGAGCCGATCTGAATGTTCGTGCTCTTGTGTGCCGACAATGTGGACTCGCTTCGCGATCGGCCTTGTCCTATCCTGATTATGATCCTTTCGTCGCCTTCTTCCTTCTCCTCCTCCCTTCTCCTCCTCCTCCTCCCTTTTCTTCTCCTCCTTTTCCCTCCACCTCCCCCTCCTCCCTCCTCCCTCTCCCCCCCCGTTCGCGCGCTCCCCAAGGAGATGGAGACGTTTCTCAGGGAGGGCATCGCGATGATGCGGCGGCAGGACACCAGGGACCTGCTGAAGGCTCCCTGGCCCTGGCCCTGCGCACGTTGGAAAACACATCCGATGGGACAATGTTTTTCTTCTCCCCGCCTCTCGTCATCCTCCTGTCCCTCCCCATTATCCCCCTTCCTCCCTCTCTTCGTTTTCACCACTATCCCCCTCCCCCTCGGACCACGGAGTTGCTCTGCGGAAGCGGATTCGGAGGAGGAGAGGGTGAGTATTCGTGTGAACCCCAAACGCATCAACGCTGTTGCAATGGGCCCTCCAAGCTCCCTCTTCGCAGGTCTCTGGAATAATTCATTTTCATTGCGGGAAGTGCCCCATTGAAAACCCCGTGTGCGAATCCTCAATCGCGCCAAACAAATCCTCGAATTTCACCGCCGCGAATCAACGTGACTGTTTCGTTTTGACAATCTTCATCGTGCCAGAACGCCACTCGTGGCACTTCAAATCCGCGAATCAACGTGACTGTCTCGCCCAGACAACCTAAATCATGGCAGAAGGAAACCGCCCGCCATCTTTGAAACAGTTCAATTTTGGAGACGAGCGTGCGCGGCGCTAGAGCGAACCATATTCCGAACACGACCCGCCCTCCATCTTTGCATTTGTTTTAAGTCGTAAGGCGACTGCGCGCGTCGCTAAGGCGAGAGCCACATTGTCAACACCACCCGCCATCCACCCGTGAAGCCGCTGCGAATTTTCGAGGCGAGAGCCACATGTTGAAAACCACCCGACCTCCATCCGCGAAGCCGCTGCAAACTTTCGAGACGAATGTGCACGGCGCTAAGGCGAGAGCCATTTGTTGCAAACCACCCGTCCTCCTTCCGTGAAGCTGTTGCACATTTCAAGCTTCGGATCATGAATGGGGAGGACGTCTCAGGTGAAACGTCGGGCCCTACCGGCCTGGGGGTGCGACAGGGAGGGTTTATGTATAAGGAGAGGGGACGGAGGTCAGGTCAGGTCAGGCAGTCCTCGAAAGCTCCTCGAAAGAAGGCTACCGGGGGGGTGAAGCACAAAGGCTACAGCCCAGAGGCCCAAGTGTGGGCCAGCAGAGAAAGACTCAGAAGGGCACTAAACCAAAGTTTAACGGGTAAAAATGATACCTCAAGTCAAAAACGGAGGATCCAGGCCATAAACCTCATCCTATGCCTCCACCTCCCCGGCCTAAACGCCGTAGAAGGTCTGGGGAGGGATCAGTAGCCGAGCCTGCGGCGCGTCTGCGGCGGGCGCGGCGGGCGCGGGGGGCCGCCATCACCGCCGCGTCGCCGTCGAGGGGAGGGAGAGAACCCGCCACCTCCTATCTACTACCCACCAACCACGGAACGAGGTAAGGGAGGATGCAAGGGCGCAGCACACTCAGGCCACACGCACACTTGAACGAGGCCGCTTCAAACGTCGGCAACTCGATTGAGGCGTTCTTTAATCGAAAAGCCTTCCCACAATCCCATTCACTCCAACACAGCCCATCCCTCCTCCACGAGATAACCAGCTCTGCCGATTCACAAAGAAGAAATCGCCAACGAGAACCACCGGTGCAGGTCCGTCTGGACCGACTCGGGAGGGGGAGGCGGAGGCGGAGGCGGGCTAAACAGGCCCTCAAGCTGAACTGGGACACGTTTGCGATCGGCCGATCGCTCTCTTCGCCGCCTCAAGGCGGCAGCTCGATTGGCAGCAATCCTGGCCAACACATCAGGGGGGAGATCAGGAGGAGGGGGCGGGGGAGGAAGAGGCACTGAACTAGGGGGGCACGCTCCGAAAGCGGCGATCGCGGTCGCGTCTGCATCGAGATGTGCCATCGCGACCGAGTGCGTGCCCTCAATTTCTTCCTCCTCCGAGGGGAAGTTGGCCCTTGCCTCCGTTTCGAGTGAAGCCGAGATACGAGCTAAAGCTGACGGAGGGCGATGGGGCTTGACAAAACCAGCAAAGTCTGGCCCCATGACTGTGGCATTCAACGCCATATTATTAGAATCAACGAAAAATCTGCGGAGCTCCTGAACCTCAGCCTCCTCATTGGCCTGGCCCAAGACAGGGGACTGCCCGAGGAGGGAGGGGAGCAAAGCCTTGAGCATAGAGGAAGCGAGGACCTGGCACAGGGCGGGCGGGTAAACCTTCTTGGGCGCAGTCCGCCACCTCTTTAGGATGCTGTCCCACCCAACCATAGCCTCGTGGGCTCTGGGCCCATGGGAACAATAGCCACCCCCTGGGGTGTCACGCAACAAGGTGGGGAGCTCGGGCAGTCGAATTCCTAACAGGGCTGTGGGGGCTCTACCGCTTTGACCGAATTCGCATTGATCAAAGGTGGTAAAGGTGGAGCACGGTGCCGCCATGAGAGCCTTAAGCGGCATCACGCTCCAAGAGGGGACTGAACGGGGTTACCACGACGGGGGGGACGGGTGTTCCATCCACGCACACCCTTGCGAAACTGCCATAATACACATGAGCTCCACCATAGCCTGCAGTAGATCATTGGACACGGCAACCTGCAGCTGCTGTCGTGGCGTGAGCTCTGTCACGCCCCACGGAGCATGCCAACTCCTGAGTGGAGGGGGGCCCCCCTCTCTCCACCGAGCTGCACAAAACGTTTCACAGGGGGGGCCCCCTCCCAGGGCGACAATGCGCCCTGCTCTGATATGTGCAGCAAAGCAGTCAATAGAACTCCTTTTGCGCAGATCGCCCAGTTCTTTGTCCAGCAGGATGTCTACTGACAGCACAGCTAATTCAAACGAGGGTGTACATCTTGCCATGGCCAATTCAATGGCCTCCTGTACGTCTCCAGGCTTACGCTGCCCACAGAACAGGTTGGCAACGAAGACCTGTCGGCGCAAAATGCGCTTTGGGATTTGGACGCACAGAACACCAGAAAACGCCGAGGCTTCAAACGGCCACTCGATGTCCGACGGGTTGGGATCCCACGCAACTTCAGGCTCATCCAAAACATGGGGCACAAGAGATCGCCTGGGCCATCCAGTGATCTGCTCGACTTGGTCGGCTATATACTTTTGAGCCGCTGCCCGAGGATAGTTTGCCTGTACGGCAACAGCCGTAAGTGGTAGTGGACCCGGCACCCTGAAAGACGGAAGTCGACCTCTCGAGGCCGAATACCCCAGGCGACGCCGCTCCTGATTTTGGGCCCGCTCCTCAGCAGCGAGCTCATCACGCGCCTGCTGTGGCAAAGGCGCAACATGCTTGAGATAGTACACTAGACATGTGGGCTTCCATGCTGTGATGTGTCTCAACAATAATGCTCGACTGGCGCACACTTTTAAGCAACACGCACACCACGGCGAGTCAACGCGCGAACGCGCGAGGTCAGTGTAAGTAAAATGCTCTCGCCTGATGTGCGCGTCCAGCGAGCGCAACTCTGAGAAATCACAAGGGCAAAAGTGACAGCGGTATTTGTCAGAAGCCCGAGGGGGAGGGGGGTCACGACGAGGAGGTAATCCACCCGCTGTCAGCATTGCCAATGTGCGCTGCTGCCACTCCGCGGCTTGCACATCTCGTTGCAATCTCGAAACTGAAGCCTGGAGGGCGGCTCGCAGAGATCTTTTCCATCCTCCAGGCGACTTGCGAATCTCATCAAACCACGGATCCATGCCCGCACTCGGGAGATCAAATTCCTTAAATCTATGATGTGCCGATCGCAGCCACATTCAATCGTCACGAATGGTATGAAGCCAGGACTTAGGTGAGTAAGCGAATTCCGCATTGACCAAAGCGAGGAGAGGCCGAGGGGCCGAAACCAACATCTGGCCGAAGAGCCGCAACCTGGACACCCGGATGATCGAACTAACTGTCGGTCGAGCCGCTCTGGCCAATACAGCGAGATCAGTTGGCCCACCTGCTTCAAACCTAGGCAAGCTAAGGAGCCCACGATATCGACGGACGTACTGTGTCTGCACTCTGAGCGTCTCCTCCTTGGTCATGTCATACCACGTGCCTGCCGAATACATGGCAGCGTTGACTGACAACGCGTCGAGCAAGTGTAGTTTGGGGGGAATGTCCTTGCCCGGGGCCTTAGCAACAGCACGACGCAGGGCTCGCATGGCCCCTGACGCTTCTCGGCCCCGATCAGCCAACTCAGGGCCCAACGACGCCTTATCATCGAGCATACTACCAAGATAAAGCGTAGACCTAACAACTGAAACGGACCCCCCCCCACGCACTAACCCTGGGACCTGTATGGATGGGGGCGGGTCGCGAAAAAGCTCCCGCCTGTAGTCGGCGGCCCCACTTCCTCGGACATCCAGAAGCAATTCTGTTTTGCCAACCTTCATGTGGTGAACTAGCCCTACTGGGGCGAAGGCGTTGAGCACGATGCGGCAGAAGGAAGGCGAGGCAGGCAAGAAGGCTTCGCTAGGTGCCATCAGCACAAAACCCGAATCATCAGCGTAGACAAGGCCGGGAAAGTCTACCTTGTCGTCAGGGGCGAGAGGAGAGTAGAGGCCCGAGGTGGGGGTTTCAACCTGAAGCAGAAGACCCTCTTCCTGGAGCATCCCAGACACAGTAGCCGTAACCTCCGCAATGATGAAAATGAAAACCGCGTCCCCAAATGGGGTACCAGGGCGTGTGCCACGAAAAGTATTCGCCACACGCTCGGCCCCAGGGGCCTGAAACCAGCCGAGACGAAATGCTTCCCCAACCATTCCAACGAAGTGATCTGTCAACCCGTGGCGACGAAGAAGCGGCAAGTCAAGAAGCCGCCGCTCAAGCAGAGGCAAAAATGCCTCTGGCAGCCCCGCACTCGCCAACAAATTTCGAAGCGAATCCCTGGAGGCGTCGGTGGCCAAGACTAGCTCACGGATGGCAGTGTAAAAGGCATTGACCACATCCACGAACAAAAAACCTAAACACATCTTGCGTGCTATCGCTAGCCGCTGCAACACTCGCGCTGCCAAGATAGCCATGGTAGTTCCACGGCCTGGGATTGCAGCGCATTGGGTCGATCCCACCGCATCCTGCACAGCGGGCAGCATCCGAGATCTCAAGCACGCATGGTATCTTTTACCGATGTGATAGGCCAC